ATCCCTCTATTGCAGCCACGCTGGCCTGCCTGGTGCTCTCAAATCCTCCAAGTACTCTTGTCTTGCAGCCCTATCACCCCATCACCTCCCCCCCCCCAGGTTTCTGCTTTGTCAAGTGTCTTCCTGGAGAGGTCCCTAAGTACACCGTATAAAAGAGCAACCCTCCCCTCACCAGGACTCCATGTTACCTTTACTCGGCTTAATCACCATCTACCATATATATTCTATTTGTTTATTGTCTGTCCTCTTATACTAGACTGTAAGCTCTATGAAGGCAGAGATTTGGCATTTATTAACTACTATATTGTCCCTGTGTATCTTACATTGTTCCTGGCACACAGTAGAGCTTAATCAATATTTTGTTGAATGAATAAAAATTTGATTAGTAGAATTTTTAGTTTGGATCTCCTTTGTATCTTTCTACAAGCCAGACTTCCCTTCCCCAAACTCCAATATTTGCCATTTAACCAAATACCACTTAGAAAAAAAATCTCGGTCTCTCTCAAACATGTTGGATAAATGAAATGCACCATAGGGACCAGCCTTGAATTTTCTAATGACCTTAGACATTTAGGGAATTGCTTGCCACGAAGAAGCTTATTGTATTTACATCATCCCCCACCCCTCCATGGTCTTTTAATGAATCAGATTTCAGAAATGAGGATAAAAAGCTTATTTATTCCAGTTGGAAAAGATTTCAATAATTGGATAACACTACCGTAGATGAGCAACAGAAAACTTCTATAAGATACCTAGGTTTTGGCAAACACCCTAGCCCTTAAGCAATATTAATGGCAACAGTTCCATTACAAATATTAAGAAAGATTGTGCAGGTGGGGGTAGGGGTGTCCTTGGCCTACGCTACAGTGGAATCTACACTCAATTTAATTGAGCTGCCCTGCCAGCTGAAAAACCTGACAAAGTATGAGTGAGCTGCAGAGCCCAAGACTCCAAGGTAAGGAGAAAAAGAAGTCTGAGCATTTAGGAATTGTCCCCAAGTGTAACAAGGTGCTTCAGAAATCACCTTTGAGTTGTGAGCACTGAAGCATCACACAATGCAGTATTATGATGTAAGTTATACCTCTGGTGCTAATAGGTCAGAAAAAAGAGCCATAATTACAGTCTTCGTCCCCTGGGGTACTGTAACAGGATAAACACCGAGGTTGTCTTGGGTAACAAGCACACACATACACCTGCCAGCCCACCCACTCTCTAATCTCTGAAGTGCAATAGTCACTCAGCTTCACTCCAGAGGCTGTACACCCGGGTGTTAGGTCTGTCTCAGTGAAGAGGCGGTTGGGTGAAGGGAATGCGAATTAAGCAGAATAAGGAAGAGGCATTTCTCTCTTGGCCTTGTTACTTTCTACATACTGATTCCAATTCCCTCATCACTTCCTCAGAGAAGTCTTCCCTAAGCAGGTCAAACCTAGTTTTTAGCCCCCCCAGCTACATGGACCTCTCCATGCGGATCTCACCATTGCACGTCACAGTCATCCATGAGGATCTGAGTAATGCCTGTCCCCCTCCTAGACTGTAGCCGCAGGAGGATGGGGATTGGTTTTGGTTTTACCTTTTCAATGCCCAGCAGTGCCTGACACATTTAATATACACATTTTAATTAATGTATAAATAATTAAGCAGTAAGAGTATTCTCCCGACCTTTTCTTTCACATATAAACTCTACCTACATTCAGATTCAGCTGTCGATTCTGGAAAAAGGGACTCGAGCTAGTAAAGACCCCGTGTAGCTACATGTGTGTGTCCCCGTTCCTTCCCCAGGGGCTAGGCTTTGTCCTCTAGCTACTGAGTCCTGGGGTACTTGGTACTGGAACTGACCCTCACTTCATTTTTATTTATGAAAACATTTTAATCTAAGCTATATGCCTAGGAATTCTAAATTCCTACCATACCTCACTTTGTGACTGCAGTTATGCTTCTTAATTCTGTCTTCTCCTAGGGCCAGATGCTACATAGCGTAGCACAATATCCCACTTTGTAAACCCAATTCTCTCCAGACATTACGGTAGACAGCAAGACTTCAGAGAACCCGAAAGGTCACACCGAGCACTGGCGTCTCCATGGTCCTCCCATTAGCGCGGGTGAATCTGGCTTCACCTGAGGCCTGCTGACAGCCACTTCACTGGGCAACACAGACCATCAGAGAGGAAACCACCCAGTGCTCCTAAGAGTCCTTCTACATCACCACTCCTAGAGAAATGGGTCGCGTCCCACAAATGTCATTCCACCCACTGGTGTTCATGATGACTGCATGCAAGGTTTAAAAACCTTGGCGGGTTTTTAAAGGGCCAGGGTTCCATCCAGCCATGGCAAGCACAATGAATGCCCCTTTTTTGATCAACTCTGCTAGAGAAGTCAAACTATAAACCTTCCATGAGGCAATTCCGTCCCATGGGATATACCCCGTAAACTGGTGCTCAGCAGTGTTGTGCTTTGGTGACAGATGTTCACCATCTGGCTCTTTCAGCCACACCCATGCTGCAGCTGGATTCTCATATTCCCAGGCCTGGTCCCACAGCAGTAACACTGGTGTTTGTATGGCATGCCATGGTTTACAAAACTCTTATCATCTTATTTCATCCTTGCCCAAGTCTGGTGAGGTGGGCAGGCAGGTGGAACAAGACCTGGCAGCTGTGGTGTCAGAGAGGAAGGCTGCCTGGCACTGCCAGGACTCAGAGGGCAGCACCTCGATGAGACCACTACACCCTGGGAGGTGGCCCACTGCTGGAGGGGGCAAAGACGCACCTGGTTATGCTTAAAAAACTGACTCACGGTAACTAAAATGAACGTGAGCCTGAGATAGTCACCAGCATGCCACTTATGTTAATGAATCCATGAGAAATTTTCACCCTGGGGCTAGAATTTAAGGGTGCATGTTTAGTATAGTTCACGCCACCAGGACAGTGGTTCCAACTGTTACTACACACACATCTAATCAACAGCATCTCACTGTTACAGGAACACCCACCCATGACATAGTTAGGTGGCTTTGCTAGCTTAGCATCAGAACAAGGAACACTAGAGAAGCTGTTTATGATGCCAGAAGGAATCTTACAGCAGATTACATTGGTCCATGGACTCCAAATACTGTAGGCTATAATCCCTTCATCCTTCTCCAGACCAAGAGCAAGAATACTTGGACTTCCAAGCTAACAGCTCCTCTGTCCTAACCAGTGCTTGGAACGAACACCGACTATGTTCATCTAACGTGCTTTCTGATGGCGACCCACTGTCTATTTAGTCAAACGGGTCATAGCAGGTGTATCTGTTAGTGAATTCCCAGTGGAGCACACTGAGATATATGCTAATCTAGGTATCTTATAGATAACAGAATGGAGATGGGCAGGGAATCTGTAACCAGCCTAATATCAGACAATCAGCAAGGGGCAGAGGCAGGGTTCATACGTTCTTGCTGGCCTGGGAGCCACTGCTGCTCAGGTGACACTTATCTCTGCCCGGGCGTGCTGATCTTATAGCATACCTCCGGGAGGGTGATCTTACATCTCTCATTTCCTGATTCTATCAGCGACCGCACTGTGGCTGTTGAGTTCTGAAAACAATACCCACCTTACAAATATGGAAACCAAAGTGTAGAGAAGTGAAGGATTTTTTTCAAGGTTACACCCCCAGCCAAGGTGAACCTGGAACTGGAGTTAAGTCTAAGTTCTAAACCGAACCCTTCCTACCAGGCCATACTATCTTTCCCTTTGTAGGCCTTAGGCCAGTGATGGCGAACCTTTTGAGCTCGGCGTGTCAGCATTTTGAAAAACCCTAACTTAACTCTGGTGCCGTGTCACATATAGAAATTTTTTGATATTTGCAACCATAGTAAAACAAAGACTTATATTTTTGATATTTATTTTATATATTTAAATGCCATTTAACAAAGAAAAATCAACCAAAAAAATGAGTTCGCGTGTCACCTCTGACACGTGTGTCATAGGTTCGCCATCACTGCCTTAGGCCTTGTCCTAGAAAGGCATTTTTGCTTAAACAGGTTCCAATGCCCCTATGTCCAGACCATGACTAGGTTAACAGAGGATTTCGTTTCCTATTCCCAACTCAAAGGAGGGTAGTGGTCTATCTAGGAAAAACTACAATTCTTTCTAGCACAATTAGCACAGTAAGTGTTCTGGAAAAGGCTGCTAATGGGAAGAAGGAAATCTGACTCGTTTCCCAAAGTATAAAATTCTAAAGGGTTTGTATTAGGGTACTAACTCTTATATAAACAACCCTAAAATCTCTGTGCCTTAAAAAACCATGTCACAGTGCAATGTGGGTGAGCTGGGGTGAGAAGGGAACCACATATGGGGAAGACTTTTGTCCCAGTCACTCAGGAACCAAAAGGGTCCATGGCAAAAACCAGGGTACGAATCTCTAATCTAGAGGCTTTGCAATTCTCTGGGGCCTTGTAGTCTTTCATCGGGTCCTCTGCATCCAGTGGGCTGGTAAGGAAAGAAACAGCCTGAAGAATCTCTTGCAAAGTTATAGAGGAAAGATAAAAAAATGACTTACATCACTTCTGTCCTCATTCCCAGGATGAGAACTCAGTAATATGACCCATGTAACTGCAGTAAAGACTGGCTCTCTGGGTACCCAGGAGGAAAGAAAATGTGGTTTAATGAACACAGCATTATCTCTGTTACACTGTCAAACACATTAGATTATACCAATGCTAAATGATACAATGGTACAAAGACTAAAGAACACAACAATACTAAATGCTATGAATACTGTAGATTTGTAAAAATACAAATAATATAAAAATGATAAAAATACTAAATTATGACACAAATAGTACATGATATGATAGCAATACACAATGATGTATAGGGCACCTCTCTGATCTTACCCTGAGAAGGAGAAGGGCCTGGAAGTGAGACCACTGCAGAGGAATGGGCGTGAGGTCCACTCTCTGCTTGGCCCATAAAGAGACGGTTACAGGAGCAGCCTCATGGGCAGGAGAGAAAGAGGTGTTAGAAAGGCAATAACACTAAGTCCCCATCAGCTGACAAGAGAAAGGCAACAGAGCTCTTACTGAAGCTTCCGTACAACCCTCCCAGAGTTGTTTTCCAAAGTTACCCAGCGCAAAGACATTTTCTTTCATCTGAAGTCATGTATCGGCTCGCGTCACTCACTCAGTTCTGGGGGTTAGCGTATGCCTCCCTTGAGGAGGGCAGAAGGCGTGATGGTGACATGGAACGCAAGGAGAGCCCAAGGGACCATGGTTAGGCCGTGGTCCCAGATCCTAACACACACCAACAGTGGCACCCTTCTGAGCTCTACAAACAGGCAGTTAGATGCCAAAAAGGACTTTGAGGTCAGCCAAGGTCAGCTTGGTGACAGATTCTCCAGATCCTGATAGAACCTGTTTGGCCAAATCTTTCTTTTTCTCTTGGAGCTGCAAGATCTTCTCTTCCACTGTTTCCTCACAAACAAATCTGAAACACAGACAAGCAAACAATTAGAAATCCAAGGCAGCATATCTAATAACATGTTCAAACTTCTATTTATGCTTTAGTTTTTAAATGGGGTGTCTTCCTTTATTTAAGCTTTCTTAGGTTTGGTTAAGAACTCTTAAGTTTAGGCAACCCAGACAACCCAGACTAAATATATGTCCATTTAAAATGATGTGACTCAGATTGACTTTTTTATTTCTTTCTGCAGCAGGTAATTGAGAAATGCCAATATGAGCAAAAGATATCCCTATCCATGAAAGCATAGAGAGCCAGCTTTTACACAAACAGCTCTGCCTTGATAAGATGGAAAGGAAGTTTCGCTAGGCCTGTGTGCTGGTTTAAACAGAGTATCTGATTTTTGGGCTAATTCACACTGTAACAGGTTTTACAAACTGAGGAAATGCCATTGTTGTCATTCAATCACGCAACCTCTTCTGATTAAGCATTCACTATATGCCATGTACTACGCTAAGTGTAGGTATAGAGAGATTAACATAAGTCTTGCTCTCAAAGAGAACCCAAAAGAAAGAGATTAAAATAAACAATAATAATACTAGCCAGAAAGTGCTATGATGGAAGCATGTCCAGTGTGCAAAAGGAGCAAGTACATCTGTCTGGAGTACTGAGGGAGGCTCCACCGAGGAGTTAACGCTCAATGAGTAATGGGTGAGAATCTGGGCAGTCAGATTCAGATACTGATCGGGTCTGGAGTTGAGATCTTGGAACTGAAGATACAGATGTGGGAGTTACTGGAGTCGACAGGATTTTTAGGGAGGTGCATCCAGAGTGAGAAGAGAGCTCAAGACAGGAAAGCCAACATAATTGCTGTAGTTGGCAAATTTTGGGACTTACTGGTGCCCTTAGCAAGAGTAATTTCAGTGGAACAATAGGGTGAAAGTCAGTTGGTAAAGTCTGAGGAATGAATGGGAGCTAAGCAAGTAAAGACAGTCAGTGATTTCTAATTCTCCAGGAAAGGTGACCCTGAAACGGAAGGAGAAAAAGAGGTCCACAGCTAGAGGACTGTAGCATCAAGGCAGGTTTCATTGTCTTTAAAGAGAAGAGGGTCCCGAGCAGAGGACTATTTTACAAAATTACTGGCTTGTATTCTTCAAACATAAAACACAAAAAAGACTGAGATATTATTCCACATAAAAGGAGAGAAGAGTCATGACAACAGAATGCTTCGCAGGATCTAGTATTTTCTTTTGCAGAGAAGACGTCATTGAAACAAGTGGCAAAACAGAATAAAGTCCATAGCTTAGGTATTATATCAGTAGTACATTGTTAACAGCCCGATTTTGAACATTTTATTGTGGTTATGTAAGAAAATGTCCTTATTTCTAGAAAATGCATAGTAAGGTAGTTAGGGATAAATAAGCACCATGCCTGCAACTTACTCTCAAATGGTGCAGAAAAAAGTTTGCATGTACATGTACACACACACACGCACGCACAAACACACACATGCACACGCACGCACGCAGGATTTTTTGGGTATTATTCTTATAAGAATTCTTACATTTTTTATATGTCTGAAATTATGTCAAAATAAAAGTTATAAGCAGGTGAGGGAGAGAGGGCAAGGGTCTTTTCATGGGCTGCCCTGACTGAGCTAAGGCTCACTACTCTAGACAACTTGCTCTTCTTTGCAGAGGCCAATTCCAAGGTCATCCTCCAATTGCCTGTGTTCCCTTCCTGACTGCGAGTCCAAGGGGGGATGTGCCTCAGTAGCATCATTAGTAAAACGATCACCAAATACTTTACATTCTATTAAAATACTACGCAAGAAAGACTGGCATGAAAGCAGAACTTGGGGAGGGTCCTAGGTCCTGGGAAACCCTTACTTACCTGTGAATGACAACATCTTTCTGCTGTCCTACTCGATAAATTCGGTCACAAGCTTGATCTTCAAGTGAGGGGTTCCTGGTAGAAAAGAGGTAAAGCTCAATGGCACAGACATCCTAGGCCAGGGCAGCCAACTCCATAGGCAAATCCAGCCCACAGCCTGACTTTGGTATGGCTCTTTAGCTAAAAATGGTTGCCACAGCTTTAAAGGATTGTAAAAACAAGCAAAATCCCACAATGAAGAATATACAACAGAGACCTATGCAGCCTTCAAATCCTAAAATAATGACTATCTGGCCTAAACTATATACAGAAAAAGCTTGCAGATCCCTGTCCTGGCTATACTGGCCGCAGACAGTGTGGTGTCAGATATTTCCCGCTCTCTAATGAGAAAATGGGGTCACTGCTAATAGTGACTCAGCATTATCATCAGTTCAAACAGTAACAGAGGTGGAACCAACATTCAAATTCGGTCACTAACTAGCTGGGGGACCCTGGGCAAGTCATCTAACCTCAACCCTCTACATTCCTGGCTGCTACCTAGAAATGTGAGAGCTGAATACCTTTCTCAGCTTTCATATTCTGTGATTCAACTGCCAAAGAATTAGACCCACA